GATATTTTCTACATAGTGTAACTTTTTTATTAATTTGAAATGGAATATGTTATTTTCCTACATAAGAAAGAGGAAATTTCAACATAATGACTATAAACAAAAAGGAGTCATATCATCATGATCATAGATGCACAAGAACTTAAACATGTAAATGCAACAACGTAATTATCAATTAAAAGAAGGGAGGAATGAAAAAATATATTAGTATTTTATTGTCCAAATGAACTTGCTTTGTCCACTCATTTAAATTGCTCCATCCAATAAAGATGTACGGAGGAAGATTTTTGAAGAACAGATTGCAAAAATGTTTTGTCTAAGAATTGTAGGAATATTCTAGTGGATGAAATAATTTATTTACTTGACTCTTATATTGTGGACTGAATCATTGTTCATAGCAAGCTAAAACAAGAAAACTAAAACTTAACAGGAAAAGTGTTTATTTTATAAATTTGCAAATATAAATGTAATATTATGAGCACCACAAAGGTATAAGATTCAAATCGTTTGCATATTCATGTATTGCAATGGAACTTTAACAAAGAAAACTTTACCTTATCTTGATAAGAGTAAACTATTAACTGTGCTTTGTCAATTTATTCAGTCAGAATATGAAATATTTTTTTCAGTTCTATTTTTCATAATAAAACAAACAAGACAAAGATTTCAAATCAATATTTTTTTTCTTTTATTAAGACATGTCATCATTTTATTTCAGTTAAAGGATTTTATTTTTTGACTTTAAATATTATTATACTTTCCAAAATAATAATAATCTTTATTGTCATATAAACAAATTAAAAACATGTTTGTGACAAAATGAAAAAAACCAAAATACACTCATATATGTATTATAAACTTTTTACTACCAAACAGAATTCATTGTAACATACACATTACTGTATATTTATAATTTGAATTCCATAGGATTTTATTTTGTCCCATGGGATATTAAAAATCCCATGGGATAATTATAGTCCCATGGGATTTTTTTTGTCCCATGGGACAACAAATATCCCATGGGACTACAATTATCCCATGGGACCCAAAAAAATCCTATGGGATTTAACCAAAATCCCATGGGATAATGGTCAATCCCATGGGATTTGCCCTATCCCATGGGATATTGAAAATCCCATGTTTTTCTAAATCAAATTACAAAATATATATGATAATAACAGCAGAAAAGCAATGAAATTATTGAATCCCATGTAATTCCGCACATTTTGGTTATATACACGACACTGTAGGTCTAAGGAGAGGCGGCGGCGGATTTGCAAATGAGTGTTTTGCAAATTAAAAGTGTCCAGTGTTAACGGTAGAAATGTTTAAATTAAAAGAATTCTGAACTTGTTTATTTATTTTTTCCTTTCTCTCCTCTTCGTTAGTACCCAATTTCCGGTGGCAATGATACGCAGTGATATGGTGATACAATCATACCACATCTTCTTATTTTTACATCAATTACATACTAGTATAGTAACAAACAAACATCATCATGTTATTAAATAGTTAAAGTAAGTGCATGGTATAAAGTATCTATATTCAATTTAAAATTTGTTCGAAGATAAGTGCAATAAGGTAAACGTTTTGCATTCGAAAAATGTGTACTCCCTATTTCCAAAAGTGCCCGTTTAAAATTAATTTTAACACAACAAGTTTGTTTTACAATAACATATATATTGAATTTTCGATGGACAATGTTCAGATCCGTGTTAACGTCTCTTTTAATAAACTTAAAAACCGGGACATTCTGTAGTAAACAACATTGACAAAACCGGGTCCTTCCATTTTGACATGACCTATTACTTTCGTTCCATGCACAGACATACAAATATTGAGGTGTTCAAAGTGACTAGTCTTGCAAAATCCATGTTAATACCTTTCTTTTCGTACAACGTGCACAATTTAACTAGAAATTAAACACTGAGTTCGAGGCAAGGTTCACTCAATTCATCATTTTGACGTGCCTTTTTACTTATTTCTCCGTTAATCTAGAACGGTTGTAGAAAAAAATACACCTCACAATTTAAAATGGTTGTATATGTAATTGTATTCTTCAATATCCTAAAGATAACAAGTAAATGAACAGAAATCCTACCTTTTCTCTATCTGTTGACGGTCCGTCACCGTACCGGATATTAGATATCATTGAGTCCAAACATTTTAGTTTAGACACAGTGAATCCCGTCAAACATTTATTTATTTCATCTCAGTTTCTAGAAAGTGTTCAACTTATGTTTTGTTTTGATAACTAGTTCTTTTACTACAGTTCAAGAACCCGTTTTTCAGTTTTTGATAAAGCATATGAAAAATAATGGTATTTATTAATTTTTAAAGTGTCAAAACTCTTAGGATGTTCTGATAAATTACGTGCTTTTTCTGTATTGTTATGGCCAAACTCAATAAAGAAACGAATAAGTTCCAAATTTAATTACCCTTACAGTTACACAGATGATGTTTTTTTACTTTGAATAAGCAAGAATTCTCGAAATATACTGCGGAAATTAACCTATGTGATCTGATTTTAAGTAAATTTAATATAAACAACAATGATTGTCCTTTTCTAGGTTTCGATATTCCAGTTTTCACAGGGAACTGTACCTATTTGATCCCTATTGTTATTTTTTCTTTTTTTTTAAGACGAAGATGTTACTTTTGTCCCTTCTTACGGTTTTTATATTTACCAACTAATAGAAAAGCAAAGGATATGGGGTACCCATCCATGACACAAAATCAGTACATGCACAGCAAAAAACACACAAAAGCAAAGGAACAGGGCTTTTATAGTTGTTCTTCATCTCAAAGTAACATTGAGGCCTTAAACACGGAGCAAAAAAACTCTCACCTCATTGCAAGTTTAAGACGGGTTCGCTAAGCAGGACTTACGTTTTGATTTCAATGAACTAAAATAACTGGTAAATTATTAAGTCATAGATTTTGTTACCACAAATTATTTCAAACTTTTACTTAATTCTTTTATAGATACAATTGAAAGATTTGGTTTGGAAGTTTGACGGTAGAATTCTTATTAAAAAAGAGTGGTTTACGTAGATCACCTACTGTATCCCTAGCCTGTCAGAACTGAGGTTGTGAGTTCGGACCCAGCACGAACCGTTCGACTCCAATCTTAATTGACTAAGATTGTCGGTTTTCTTTCAGAAGTTCGATGGTTTACTCCGGGCACTCCGCCTTCCTCCATAAAAAAATGACCGCCACGATATGGCCAATAGTACTTAAAGTAGCTTTAAACACCAACAATCAATCAATAAATCAATCTTATCAAAAACGGGATATTAAGGGCATACGATACAGTTTCGATCCCACGATGAATATTTTACGAAAATTTGCGTACAAGATATTTTTCACCTAAGCAATTCAAATATGTAATAAAAAATATACCTTCATGTGCTAGTTAAAGAGATAAAAGGGGTAGACATTTTAGACATTTACTCAAAATTTCGGTTTTTTGGACATTTCTATCCTTTGGATAGACACACTTAACTTTTTTATTTCAACAGATAAACACAAGCGGATTTTTGTAAAAAGATTATGAAAATCTTCTTTGCATAAATATGCTCTTAATATGTACAACAATTCTTTGGAAATAATAATTTTTAACAAAGTTTCAGGATTTTAGGAAAAAAATGGCATTTTTGCGGTATATTTATCAAATTTAAAAAAAAAAATCATCGTTGACTTTTTCATTAAAATTGGTACAAAGAATCGTCATACGTAATCAAACTAAATGCCATTCTAAAAAAGAGGGGTCCATGTACTCGTTTTCAAGTTAAATCAGTTTATATCATAAAAAAAAACAGTCGAAAAATGCATCTTTTCCCGATATGTCACAGTTTGACGCCGCGAAAATAACATTTTACGTTAACAACTTCATTACCTCCCCTGTAACTGTATCGTATGCCCTTAATAGAGCCGTAAATGTAGATACGATCCATGTAAACTCATTGATCCATGCATATGGAATAAACTGATTGTTAAAGGTTATCAATTTAACACCGTAGTAATTTCTTTGAATATTGGTACTAGCAATGAATTAGTTTTTGATAAATTAAAGCATAACTGAATATGTTTTGTAAAGAGTTATGAAACCTCGTGGTCCTACATCCTGTCGATACTATTCATAACTTATAGTTTGGCAAACTGAGACAAGTTCATTCTTTAAATTCTCAGTTTATAACGTCTTTATACTTAATTCGTTAGATGTGTACTGATTAATACTTTAGTCAGGGAGAACATAGTTTATTCATTATTCGAAATTGCTTTGAATTAGCTTTCAGTAACTGCGAATTCGCTTAGATCGATACATTATGTCTTTTGTTTTATGTTTTTTATTTTGTTTTGTGCTTCGTACCAAGCTGTTGAATTAAGCCATTTCAATTTCGAACTGATTTTAACAGTTCGATTTTAGGTTGTGCTGTTACACCACTGTCCTAGGTTAGTGGAGGGTTGATGACTCACACACATGTTTAGCACCGACTCATTCTGTATGTGACAGTCCAAAGTCAGAAGCCTATAAACAAGTGGCTGTCGTTGGTTGTCGTCTGTCTTATTTGTTTTTCGTTAATTGTTTTGTCATAAATCAGGCCGTTGTTTTTCTCGTTTGGATTGTTTTCCATTTGGTCACGTCGGGGCTTTTTATAGCTTTCTATACGGTATGGGTTTTGCTCGTTGTTGATGGCCGTAAATACAGTGGTTTATAAAGCTGCTTACATCAACGTCATTTGGACTCTGATGGATATTTGTCTCATTGACAATCATACGGCATCTCCTTGTTTATATATCTACTTGGATTTTTTAGATATCCATTACGTATTTATTGTGTTTTGTTTTTTTTGTGTGGATGGGGGAAGGAATTCTTGTATTGCAACAATTAGTTTACATCTTGGCCTGTTGTTGAATAATACATATAATTAACAACTACTTACTAACATCTTAAGTGCCTGTGGTGAAAATATCATTTGTTCGGAAATAATATACAACGACTATATTTAATTTTATTCTTCAAGATCTTTAACATGTGTAAACTGCAAATTATAATTACTATATTCAAACAAATATTAATTTTTTGTTCTACCGAGTATGTGATCGTGATATCAAATCCATATTTAATAAAATACAGAACGTCTTTGACTAATTATGTATTAATAAAAAACAATAGAACTGACCATTGTATGTAGATATTAAATTTTAACGTAATATAAAACGATATACTCTTTACATTTTAAAGGCATATCAGGAACTTAAAAAAAAACAAGGCAAAATAAAAAAAATTAGTTACATTTATGAAGTTTTGTCCAGTGATATTTTACAACATTAAAGGCTGTAGTTATTATTGATATGCAATATTGATGTTGCTTAAACAACAAATACCCGAGATAGAGCCCCTCCTCATAAATTCAAATGCTGAAATATGCAACAATTTTATTTCGACTAGTTCCGAACTAAGAACCATTTCGGTTATTCGTTGCTTTTTGGCTTCTTCATGCCACTTTCATTCACATTTTGACAACAGTTTTGTTTGTTTGTTTTCATTTTTCACAATCGGTGTCACTGTCACTTTTAGATACAATTAATTGTTTTCCTGATGCACATTTTGCTTGAGCAGTTTTTTTCATTGCAATTATAGAAGAATTGTCACGCTGAATAGGATTTGCAATTGTCTGGTGTTTGTACTCCAACATCATGTTATTCAGGGGAGCTAATCCGATACAAGCCCTGAAGATGTTTTCGATACAGCACCTTTGTTTAAACAAAGCGTTAACGACTGGTGTTCCTGCGGGTACTAACGGTGCTTTACATAAATAACTCAGAATAGTCAAAACACTATTAAAGCTTTGAAAGCTGTTGTCATTTTCAGTTTTGAACTGAATTCGTTCACAAATTTCAGCAATAATGACTAGGTCTATTATAAGAGGGCTTGCTAACAAAGAATCTTCACATGTGTTGTGAATCACCAAGGTATTTGAACCTCCCATCATAATCTCTGACGTATACTCGTCCATTGCACGCTTGCTGTCTCCTACATGAGGTACGTATTTGATGACCACACAGTGGTCAGGCTTCTTTTTGTCATGATAGAGAATATCATTAGAGTCGACCATATCATCAACAACATTACTTTTGGAAATCTGAAATCATAAAATATTTTTTTTCAAATATTGAATTTTCTGTGAACATTGCAAAATTCGTAAGTTGTGTTGTTTCAGCGCAAGGTTTGCTTTAGTTTTGTGAGTTTGTTCATATTTTTAAATCTTTTACTTATATGTGTTGTATATTAATTTGATAAAGGTAATTGAATTCATGTTTTTTTTAATTATTCGAAGGTATAAAAGAACATTCAAAATCTGAACAATAGTTTGAAAATATTCTTTTTAGTGATTCATTCCATAACGCTAAAATGTTTAATGTAAATAAAAGTAATTCATGTGTTATCTTTAAATGCAAAATAATACTAACCTCTTTCGACCTGAATGTTTGTGGAGCTGACAAGTTTTTACCATCATTGTTTCCAAGATGATTGTAGCTAACGATAGAAACCGGCTTGATTCCAGCACTGACTAGAAAGTCAACAAGAACCGACTTGAGTTTTGTCTGTCCTGACTTAAAGTCATCACCAGCAATAAATACTTTCTTCTTATTGGCTAATTCTAGAGCACCCGGTACAAATGTGTTCTGTGGAGACCCATTGATGTATGTAACCTGAAAAAACAGAAATTCCATCATTACTGTCATATTGTTTTTAACTGGACATCAGGACACATGCATACCACTTGTTTTTTTAAATTGTTTGTTTTTATATATTAACCTTAGTAATTATACAAACTAGTAGTCAGTGGTTGTCGTTGGTTTATGTCTATCATATTTGATTTTCGTAAATAGTTTTGTTATAAATTAGGCCGTTAGTTTTCTCAATTGAATTGTTTCATGTCGGGGCCTTTTAAAGCCGACCATACGGTATGGATATTTCTCATTGTTGAAAGCCGTACGATTGCCTATAATTGTTTGCATCCACTTCATTTGAACTTGGGTGGATAGTTGTCTCATTGGCAATCATACCACATCTCCTTATTTTTATAGTGCATTATTTCAAAACTTTGAGTTCTTTTTCTTACCAAATTTATTAATTTTACGCGAGGAGATAACAATATTTTGTTTACAGTCAAAGCAGAAATGGACTAGAAATCAGAATGCTGAAATATTTTATTGACTGATATCAGAAGTCCACTGCTACGAGTCTTGGGCTTCAACTTGTATTTAATTCTGTTTAGTTTCATACCCAACAAACAACCAATCAAAATCTTTCAAAACAGTTATTATTAGAAACATGTTTTTATTGATAAATGTGTATTACATGTGAAATATACTCACTCCTTCGAGAATAGAAGCTACAGCGAATAGAGTTGAAGGTGAAATTTCTTTTTCGCCTTCCCTAATGCTTTTTAACAAATTGTCAGCAGTGTCGTTGACACCCGGGATGATATCACTATACCGCTCAGTGTTTGCTGTCCACAAAATTATAACTTTGTCAACACCACTTTCTTCCTTGAATTCACGGATGTCTTTGCGGATACGATCCAATTGTTCTTTCTTGCTACCAGCTAAAACATTGTCTGCCCGTTCTTCTTGATTTGCAGCAATGAAATCCGGTATGTAAATTGATGGGCGTGGTCTCATGTGCTTCATATGAGGACGAAGCTGCACTTGCAGATTATAATCTAGCACTTTTGCCCTTTCCATTGAATCAGCGATATTCATGGATGATATGTCCCATCCTGCAATTACAAAAAACATTTATTCAATGTCTATTTTTTGATCACGTAGATTTACATTTCTAACAAAAGCCATGAGAGCAGTTAAAGCAAAAAAGGACCTTAAAGATGTTCCTGGTTTAGCAAGCTATAAACATATTTGAATATAATTTTGTTTTGTTTTGTTAGTGTTTTGGGGGGCTTTTTTTCGGAAGGGGGTTGCCTAAATGTTATAATATTATAATTAACACTTTACATTCCTGGTCCTCATTGATATGTTCTGAAATGCCATATTTGAATAGAGAAAAAGAGAAAAATGAACAAACAAAAAACCATACATAATACATGAAGATCATAAGCTTTTCATTTATTTGATCACCGTACTTGTACTTGCCTTCACAGAGAGTGGTACTATAAAACATTACAACTTATTTGCTTTTCTCAAGTTTCATAAAACTTCCCCAATCGATAAATTGCTTTAATTATTTATATGCATGAAAGTGTTTTTCTAACTTCTTACACAGGCACGTTTGTTTTAAGATAAATATTTTAATATTGCGTGCTAGGATCTCTTTCATTTTCATATTGTCAGACTCATTAAAAGAGAGACGAAAGATACCAAAGGGATATTCAAACTCATAAGCCGAAAACAAACTGACAATGCCATGACAAAAAACGAAACATAACTAACATAAAGAAAACAACAGCAATCACCAAAAGTATCGGACAGTACAAAAGAACACATGCACAAACCATCAACACCCAACTCATCCGAAAACATTGACGTACAAACAAAGACAAACAACGAACAACACGTGGTCCAGATCGATTGTCTTGGTAGGCACAAAGGGGTGGGTTAAACAAGTTTTATATGCACATAAACCCCCCCCCCCCCCTTGTGTCAATCATATGTCGTAAAAGTAAAACGCACAATAAAAACACTTTTATTGGAATTTAATTTTAATTGACGGAATAAGCATAGATATACATGAAGGGGACTTTAAAAGGGTGTGCGTTATTTGTTATATATGTCATTACAGAAGCATCGATCACTGGGCTGATGATACCTTCAGCGAGTTAACAGTCTACCAGCAGTGGTATCGATCCAGTGCTGGAAATTGAAAATAATACTTTACAAATTCGGGGCGCCCAAAGCGCTTTTCTGTATTTACCTTTTTTATTAGAAACAAACCAAAATCAAAATCAAATCATAAGATCTTTAAATATTAAAAAAAATGTGAAGAGCTACCTGACCTAAAGGGACATTAAAGAGGTAGCCAATTTATCCATAGGTCAACTGTCCATGAGGGAGTTGAAATTCTTTTATCGACGAAAATTTTGATAAATGTATGTTATAAATCATTTCTGTACCGAATCACTGACAATTGCGCTGACAAACTGTCAGTCCACCAGCAGCAGTTTCGCCCAGTGGTAGAAAAAAATAAATAAAGCTTCATAAATTTGATGCGTCTGAAGCGCTTTGCTGGATTTAACTCTTTTAAGAACGTTCATAAAACATTGAAAGCCCAGGAAGTATAAAACTAAAATACACGAGAAGCCAAATGACCAAAAGCTCTTGATATTCATTCTACCGCGTATTTGTACACCATAAGCAGTAGAACTGAGTCTGTTCAAGTTAAAAAAAAACCATTTAGACCTTGTCGTTAGGGATTATACAAAACAAATGAAAATACACATATTTATAAAGTATTTGACTTTACTTATTAACGAAATATCGCTTAAACATGTACGAACAAACACCATTTTTGAACATAGAAAAAATAGTGAATTTTCACTTAAGACTGAGATTTAAGACTGGTTTTAACTTGTACGCATTGAATGCTAATCATATATATGTTACGATATATACAAATCTTAAAACATATATCTAAAAATGCTAATCTGTTTAAAAAAACTCGTCCAAGTTTATAGGAGCAGTCAATCACGACCTAAATAACGAACCTTTTTTTACCTTATAAGGTCAACAAATAGAATAGTTATTACTTTGTAATACGTTGAGTTCATTTATTAGTTTAAATACCTCAATGTAAATACACAATGCCGATTACAGTTTGTGCCAATTTAAGGTATTTCTGTCGATCTATCAATGGGATTTTACGACAAATCGTACGTTCTATGTTTATGGTTACTTCTAGTTTGTGATTTAACTACAACGTACTTTATTGAACCAGTTGAGAATATAGATTTTATTTCTCGCCATTCACATTTAAAACCAGAAGTATAGTGCCATTGATTCACTTTAAAAATCGAAATGCGTGTTTAGAAAAGCTTTTCTAAATTAATAAATATCAATAGCACTCTACTACTTAAATTGATCATAATTTATACCGAAATGATCATGTCTTACGAGAATAAATATTCGTAGTTTGTTAGCATTTCTTCATAAATACTAAAATGTTCAAGTTAACTCATATTAAAATGCTCATGACCTTTACGAGTATCTTTATGTTATACTGAAACGTTCCTGGCATACGAATATCTTCACGTTATACTGAAATATTCATGACATACAATTATTATTAAAGATTGGTTGTGAAAAGAGTCATTTTGGAAAGCCATTTGAACATGTAAGGACAAGGTTTTGTTGACATACCCTGATTCCGTACTGTGCATAAACAAAAAGCTGCATATCTACACTTCGTTGAATAATCATGTTTATGTCTGCTTCACCTTGTGACTGGTGATATTACTTCGTATAAAACCCTGTCAACGTATATTTGTCCCGCCTATCAGAGGTTCCCCAGGAAACTTTGTTATAAACAATGCAATCATGTGTTCCTGTTGGAACAAATATTCTATACCATTCATTCCGCAAGGAACAAATACTGTAATATTAATTCCAGTGAAAAAAACAGCATTCTAGAATAACTCTTCCATTTGGAACTCATGTTATAAAGGAATTTCTATTTCATGGCACCCCCTCACCTAAACGAATTTTTTTTTTTTTAAACTGGATCATAAATAAATAGGCATACATGTATAAAACTGTATAACGGTACTCACCATCAATTACAACATCGTTAGGGTCTACCATTGGCAGAAGGTCTTTCATTGGAATATAAACCTCTCCTTCTGGTCCTGTACCAAGACCCACAGTGCTGGCCTGTGTTATAGACCCAAAATAGTTGGCATGTTTAAGGCCTTCCTTTGTATGCCATGACATTTTGTGCTTGTTTGCCAAGATGGCGGCAGTTACAGTACATCCATTGTTTCCACCCCATCCTACCAACATCACTCCGAGTTTTGGTACCTTTCTTTCTGTACGGAATGTGTACTGCGTGGTGACTGGAGTAACATTGATTGTCCCATCAGGACCGTTTCGTACCTGTGATGTTTGGTAATCATATTTAGATTCTATGTATTCTTCTGTGTACGTTACATTTGGACTATTCACTTTGACAGTTGCCATTGTTATTCAATCTAAAATATTAATATTTTATTATCAGGTCGTTTTTCCTAACAATAGTGAATTCAATTCAATTCAATATTGATATTTTTATCCAGTCTCTTCGTGCAATAATATAATACAGCATTACATTTAGTGTATACTGTAGATATAAGATATAAAAGAAAGCCATTCTATACAGAAATACAAGAGATTATAACATTAAAACATGACAAAAATCCTCTTAATAAACATATTCAAATGTACATTATTTAGACTTGGTTCTGCAGAATAGATTATTTATTAAATGATGTGTGCTTATGTCATGAAATATTTGCCACTGGACGTTAAGCAACCAACAATCAATCAATCTTCTGTCCAGCGGTAGAATGATCAATCAATAAAAATAATAACACGAACAAGTAAAACTGGAAGCCGATCGTAAATAATATCAGCAATTACATGTAAAATAATTGAGAATGCAGTTCAGTTGTACTGCTTTTTACCTGATCTGAAATAATTTATTTAACAGGTAATTGCTTACTAATGATTTGTTTTCGGATCTCATCTATACTGGTCTGACAGGAGTTCGAGATATTTTTTTCTAACTAAACACGTGTTGTAATAATATGTATTCAGTCAATTAAAACATAACATAACATTCTGATATTATCCTACCTGTTAACTATTCGACTCCTTTGCAAATAATGATCAATAATGGTGTTTTAAATTTTCTTATAAGTTATGACTACCATAATCCAATGTATTCTTATGGACATGCATGGACGATAACGGTCAAAGTCCAACAAAAACATATACATACATTTAAACCCGGCATATGGTCTTATACCATCGTACGATACCTAGAATATTCTGAGCCAATCAGAGAACACAACGTTGTTATTTACAAGAAAACATCGATACTATATCATGATATTTGTTCTATGTATAGAATCTTAATTATAATTGAATCATTTGAAACTTAAGAGTTAATTATATAGAATTATTGACTTTTCCCTTTTTCATGTAAAAATCATCCATACCTGTATAAGACCGCGATAGAATGTTTACATTAATGATATTTTAGAATCAACAATTTTCTAAACAATTCAAGTTCATTATATACGTGTGAATTATATAAATATAACTATATGTGGTTCTATTGTTACATATATTCTCATTCTATAAATAAAATGTATTAAAATAAAAATAATTAGCCCTAGTTCACAAATTTTGCTAAATTTAGAATAATCGTCAGTTATATACATATAGGAATTATAAATAGAAACGCACATGAGAAATACCGGTATCACGTACAATTTGAATAAAAACAAAAGGTAAAAGAAAACAGAAACCGTTAAAAGTGCTCGGACACAAATATGATATTTTGTTATCTTAATGAACCGAATTTTCAGGAACGTTTAATATTTGAATGCAAGTACAAAATTTCCCTTTCTATGTTAACTTTATTGATAAATGAACTAGTTGCTTTAATCTGAAAGGTCAGTGACGTCACAAACATGTTCAAAAATTTACTTATTTCTCAAATTGACAATTTCACGCCTAGCTTTTAGTAAAAAAAAAATATATATATATTTCTATATGAGCAGGAGCTGGACCCAAAGAGATATTTTACACACATTAAAATCGATGTAAAATACATTTTATGACACAATATCATATGGGTAAAGCTCTTGCTCTTATCAATATATTATTAGATATAAGACTGTTTTAGCAGTGTTTTGATGTTTTGCACTAAATGTAAGAAGTTCAACTGAAGCCAATATGTGTCAGGGGCACATCCCTGTTAATGAAGTCAATATAATGTGAACATTCACGCACGTAACTTATCAGTTGAGATAAGTAAACGCCGAACGAAGGGCCAGAATGTATAATACTGCTGATGAATGAGCAGTTGATAAAGGAAAAGCTGAAATCGTCATGTTTGTGAAAGATCCTCCTTTTAAGTCGTCCATTTGTCAAAAATAAAATTTAAAAAAATCCATAGAGGAAGCAGACATTTTAGTTTCGGTAGCATTCTTAGTTTAAAATTCACTGGGAAATATGAGAATCAGATGCAAGCATCGACTGAAATGTGGGCTATTCATTAACATAACATCATCACTGTATCTGAAAATCAAATTAAAGACCTTTATAGGTTTTGTTTGAATTCTTCTTCATATGAGTATAAAAAATGTCCACAAGTTGGGTTGAACAATTTGTACCGATTGGAATACCGACTGTTTGTTGAAATATCAATCTATCCAAACTCAATACATGTATTTGGTGTTGTTATCGTTGAAGATCTTTACAGAGTAAGATTATTCAAAATCTTAAACAAAGAAATGTGTATCTAGGATTCCCATTTTTATAGAAAAAGCATAGTTGAATGAGGATATCTATTAGATCTTTCAATTGAGTTTGAGGAAAAGTCGAATAGAAAAATTAAAGAACATACCAAGGGGCAATTGAAATCATCACAATTCGAAGAAGAACAGTCAATACCACGGCCAAAATAAACTACACGTATAGAAGAATACCCCGAAGAAATGACGGATGACTCGGTATATTCCGTAAAAAGAAGGTAATTTTGAACGAGATTTGACTTAGATCTGGAACTCGTTATTGTACACGAATGAATCGAAATTCAGCTCAATATCTCCAGACAAAGCAAACAACTACAGAACAGTACAATTTCCACTGCCTTTACTTCGTGAAAAGCAAATCATCCGGAACGCCGTTATGCTCCCTGAACAAAAATCCTCTCGATATGTTAAAAGAGAAATCCTGATATCAATTTCAAATTCCGGAACATTGTATTAACTTTACGATCTATATTTCATATCAAATAAGTACTTCTTCAATGCTGCTACATACAATCGTTTGTTTACATTGGGTAAACAAGTACATGTTTTATGATAACATTTTGATAGTATTTAGACTGCCTCTCTGGCTAGACTGTCAGTCCAAAGAGTATCACAAACATGGTATCTTTGTACCATAATGTTAATTTAAAATTAATACTTCAGAAATTTAACACGTAAAACATATACAATTTGTAAATTCTACGATCGAGTTATCCTCGCAAGGCGCAGGTCTCTAGCTGATTTGACAAAGGCATATGTGCCATCAACAAAATATTTATAGCACCTTCTCTATGACCCCAAAATATCCGTTTTTAACACTTTACCTATCTAAATTCTGTTATTTCGCTGCGTGAAACTTAGCTTCACATACCCTTATGAGCGCGTTTCATCTTAGTATTAATTTGACTATTTGTTTAGTTCTCTCATATTACCAACATTTTTAAAATATTTGTAAAACATATTCTTGGTTAGGTTAAGTAGAAATTATAGACAATATCGTTTGCAATTCTTAAGATTATTTTCCTTTCATGATATTTAATCCGTCATTTGTCATAAATTTGAGATACGTGGTATACAATATTGACACACATCGCTTTCAAATGTTTTGTTATGCTCTAATTGTTCAATCATGATTTTATATTTTTTTTCATATGATATCTATCTTCCCCTCATAATCTTTGTATTTGTGATAAGTATTTACGATCGACTCTTTACATATTAATGCCCACATTATCTATGAAATATAGATTTTTCTAAAATGACACAGAAATCTTTTCCGTTTTTTCCCTCAACTACTTGAATTTTATACTACTTTTATTTTGAAATAACACCCTCGGAGCAAGAACAACTTAAATATCCTGTCATATACCAGAATCAATGCAGACTATAACCCCTACCGTACAGGAAATCATTGGTTCATTCAAACGATTTACCAAGTCATTATATAATTATAGACACACACGTACACACGGATATGGGATACGCTTCTCCAAATTTATGTTAAAAAATTTGCCAGAACGTTCTCTTGATATTCCACCTTACTACACACACACACCCACGCCCTACCCTCATTAAATAGATTCAACTAATCACATAAAAATGTAGGGACTACAATTCTTTCTAGTCTACAAAATCGAACTAAAGTTTAGTTAATGAGATTGACCATTGTTTTACTTATCATTATCATAAACTGAAAATAATAATTTCAATACACAGTGATGTTTGGTTTACGATTTACAAATAATGTTAAACACGTTTGATGAATACTGTACTGACTGGAAACTAAATGTAAACATTGATAAGACAAAAGTAATGGTGTTTGAGAAGGCGAAGCGTAAAAAAAAATACGAGATTCATGCTAAGGGGCGAGGAGTTACAGCTCACCGACAGTTATAATTACCTGGGATTATTAATAAGATACAATTGTAATTTTAATTTATCAAAGAAAAAACTAGTTGAACAATCACAAAAAGCACTGTATGCATTATACTATAAGTTAAGAAATGTAAACATCCCTTCAGATCTGCAGTTTCGACTATTTGATTGTATGGTCGCTCCAATTTTACTTTATGGGTCGGAAATTTGGGGTCATGAAAATGTTGACATGATTGAAAAGGTGCACTTAAGTTTCCTTAAAAGAGTCCTGAATGTTAGATCAACAACACCAAATTATATGGTCTATGGGGAAACTGGCAGATTTCCATTAAAAATTAATATCAAAACTAAATTACTATGCTTTTGGTCAAGGCTAGTGCAAAGCGGTAGTAACAAATTATCTGGGATTTTGTATCAGTTAATGTATAACTTACATAACTCAGGCCAATACTCATTTAAATGGTTAACTTCCCTGAAACAAATTTTAGATGATACAGGATTTTCTTTTGTCTGGAATGCACAGGGTGGTATCAAAAGTTCGGATATTAAAAAAGAAATAAAACAGAGATTGGTTGACCAATTCGGACAGAGTCTATCTACTGATATGACAAACTCATCTAGAGGTGTGTTTTATGCTTCATACAAAACAATGTTTTGTGTAGAACCATATTTACTCAATCTTAAAGTGGCAGATCGATACATCTACAGTAAATTTAGATGTTCAAATATCAAAATCCCTATCGAAGTTGGTCGGTGGAAAAATACACCAAGAGAAAATCGTATATGTTGTCACTGCGATTCAAATACAATTGGTGACGAATATCATTATTTTTTTGTATGTTCCAATGAACAAATTATGTCTTTAAGAGAAAGGTATATACCTACATATTACACAAAAAATCCTTCCCAATTGAAATTTACTGGTCTATTATCACACTGTAACGTGCCAGTGCTATCAAAAGTGTGCATGTTTCTAAGACATATTGAAAAAATATTTTCATAATTCATAGCATGTTACAATAACTTCATATCCACGTTGCATTTTGCAAACAAATCAACCAAATATGGTATATTTCAGTTTTATTGTATGATATCACTTATTTATTTATTGTGTGTCTTGCTTGTAAATGTATAAGTATATATGTAATTGTTAATGTATAATTGCTATCCTCTTGTAGCACCATACGTGTGCCTAAGTTGTAAATAAATTGTATTGTATTGTATTGTCAATATATTCATGCATTTTTATCTAGTAGAGGCAACAGTAATTTAGCGAAGAGTCTATTTAGAATTTACAAAATGAAATTGAAAAAAAAACACAAACTGAGGGAATCGGAAGAATTCCTTACGGAGCGAGACCAGATGTGCCAACAGCTCCTTTACAGAACTGAAATGTTTGCAGCAGATCTGCAGCAGACTTGCTGCAGGTTTGCTGCAAACAAAAAGCTTGCAGGAACCCTTTGAATAATGTTTGCAGAAGTTAACAGCTAGCTGCGAACCTCCTGCAAACATTGCAGCTTTTTGCTGCAAGCTTGCGGCAAGTTTGCAGAAACAAATATGTTTGCAGTAAGATCGCAGGAAAA